AATCATGATTGACAGTTAACTGCTGGGTTTTGATTTACTTTTAAGTCAGACAGTTTGAATCTGATTGGACAGGGGACTGCATTGAGAAACGAACCACTGAATGGCTATCTGTTTTGTTGAGCTGAAGCAAGCACAGTGTGTATACATTTCCTTCTGTCATTGCAAAAAAACTGGCCTTGTGTATTGATATAACTCTAGCACATGTCTTTATTCTTTATTCATTCAGGGGATGAGGGTGTTGCTGGCTAGGCAGCATTTATTGCCCATCCGTAATTGCCCAGTGGGCAGTTAAGAGTCAACCACATTGCTGTGGGTCTGGAGTCACATGTAGGCCAGACCAGGTAAGGGTGGCAGTTTCCTTCCCTAAAGGACATTAGTGAACCAGATGGGTTTTTTCCAACAATCGACAATGGATTCATGGTCATCATTAGATTCTTAATTCCAGATATTTATTGAATTCAAATTCCACCATCTGCTGTGGCAGGATTCGAATGTGGGTCCCCAGAACATTATCTGGTCTCTGGATTAACAGTCCAGCAATAATACCACTAGGCCATCACCTCCCCTGTCAATCCTAAATTAGTCAACAGTGGAATTCTTCATCATTCTGGATTGTCCAGCAAATGCTGTCCAATTGCAGAATCACATTTAACATTGGACACTGTGTTCTGTATTTTGTAAGTGTCAACAATTTTGGTACATCATTACCTTGTTTGTTGCAACCAGCAAATGCTGTTTGGTACAATTGCCAATCTTTCGGATATAAGGCCTTCATACCTGACATCACAACAGCACTGAAATTCACATACCACACTACTCATTTGTGTGTTAGGCAGGACTGCAGCATCCTATAGTGAATATCACTTTTTTCGCTACTCAATAGAACACAGAACATAGAACCTTTCAGCACAGTACAGGTCCTTTGGCCCATGATGTTGTGCCGACCTATTATCCTACTAAGATCAAACTACCCTACATTATACTATCGTCCAAGTGCCTACCCAAGAGTCGCTTAAATGTCTCTAGCAGCAGTGTAAAACAGCTTCATCTGTTTCTCAAATTTTAGAGATACCCTACTTTGACAGAGGAATCTGAAGTAGCCTGTGAACTTTTCAGGACGACTAGTCTTAGGGCCTTTTGTGAGCTTACACAACATATTGTGAGAAATGATTTGATCATGAAGCTTGCATGTGGCTTCAAGCCTATTATGAGGTTGCTGCTAAAGCCAACCTTAATGCATGTGAAACTAGGAATCCCAGTGTATATACTGACCAGTGAAGGTAGCTTAATGACAATAGAGAACCTTGTGGCCAATTTCTCAACTACAACCACAAGGAGAGGGAGCTCATTTGACTGTTCCATCTCCAGTGTGAATTCAAGCGTAGGATAGAGCCCAGTAAGATAAGTAACAAAATGTTTATGTGCAGGTGCAAACATATCATCTAAATATTGGCAAGGGATAGAAGATTATGTATCATTCCATCAAAGACAACTTTCTTATGGAGTGAGCTGGGTCTAGAGGGTATCTCATGGACAATGCCACCTATTTGGGTAAAACAGTGTCATAAAAACTAAACTCAACTGCATGAGTTTCTGAGTTCATACGTTTAATGAATACGCAGTGACAAGTCGAAGTTGCCATGGTACAGTGCTGCAGAGCAAGTAGTTATGATTTCCTTAAGTGGTACATTGGTGAATAGGCTAGAAATATCAAGTGTACACATGGACACTGCAATGCAAACAATATGCAAATCCTGTACGTTCTTCGCAAATGTAAAGAGCGTAACAATTCACCTGAACCTTTGACCAATTCAGCATAAATGCAATTCTGCAATTGGACAGCTTTGGTGAATAATCCTGAGTCTATAATGAATTACACTGACAACAATTTAGGATTGTCAGATGTACTCATAGTGTGTACTTGTGTGTACTGGAAGCCACATATATTAGTACATAAGGCCCTGTTCTTTGCAGATAGCAAGGACAGGTACACACACTGTGCCTTTTTCAACTCAACAAAACATGTGATAGCCATTTGCTGGTTCATTTCTGAAGGCAATGCCTGACTAAGTCAGAATTGGCCTGTCTGGTTTAAAATTTAAACAAAATTTGGCAGTTAATTGTCACTCATTAGTAATGGGTGCATTCTCTAAGGTAATGCCTCTAACAATTAGGGTTCACTTGCCAACTAATTAGTATTCTCCACTCAGGCAATATAAATGTTTGTTTCCCCCTTGAATTGATATTCTTGTGAAATGTCATGATGAGTCCAAGATTAAAAGCTTCAACAAAATAGGGGTGGCATGGTGACTCAGTGTTTAGCACTGCTGCCTCATAGCACCAGGGACCTGGGAATGATTCTTGGATATCTGTCTGTGTGGAGTTTGCACATTCTCCCCGGGTCTGTGTGGGTTTCCCCTGGGTGCTCTGGTTTCCTCCCATATTCCAAAGATGTGCAGGTTAGGTGGATTGGCTGTGCCAAATTGCCCATAGTGTCCAGGGATGTGCAGGTTAGTTGGATTACTCATGGGAAATGCAGGTTTACAGGGATAGGGTGGGTCTGGGTGGGATGGTCTTTGGAGGTTTGATGTGGACTTGATGGGCCAAATGGCCTGCTTCCACACTGCAGGGATTCTATGAAGATGTGTCTTTTTCAGCAACACTTAAATTCTGTACTACCAAGTGACCATTCATGATTGAAAAAGTGTTGCAGTAGTTAAGTGACTTAGGACAATCACATTATGGGCAAGACTATAGAGGTTGCAAGTAACCATTAAATTTTGACTGTTTTGTTTAGCTCTATTGCATAATTATTTATTTTACTAACTGATTCATTAAGAAACTTTATGTGTTGGGTAAAAAATAATAGAAATAAACTTCAGGTGAATCAACATTTGAAAGAGAGCAGATAAAAAAAAATGATTCAGATATGATTTTTCATCAGCTAGCTATCTATTGCAGTTCAAGGATAGAGAAAATAGGATCAAGAGTATATCCTTCAGCCCTACGAGCCTGCTTCATCATTCAATATGATCAATATCCTGTTCCACTGTCTCTGCCTACCCTTTGATCCCTTTAGCCCTTAGAACTATATCTAACTTTTTCTTGAAAGTATTAAATATTTTGGTCTCAACCATTTTCTGAGGCAGAGAATTCCTCAGGCTCAACATTCTGTGTGTGGAGAAATTTCTCCTCAATTCAGTCTTAAATGGCCTATTTCATTAAACTCTGGTTCTGATGGTCTCACTGTGATCAGGAACTTCCTTCCACCTCTGTTTTCCCCTGCCTAGTCCTGTTAGAATTTTATACATTCCCTTTTTCATTTTTCTAAACTTCAGTGAACATAGCCATAATTGATCAGGTCTCTCTTCATATGTCAGTCCTGCCATCCCAGGAATCAGACTGATAAACCTGCTAGGAGTACAAAACTACACGCCATATTCCAGGCGTAGTCTTTCCAAAGCCCTGCACAATTGTGGGTGGCACAGTGGCTTGCAGAGCCAGGGACCCAGGTTCGATTCTAGCCTCGGCTGACTGTCTGTTGGAGTTTGCATGTTCTCCCTGTGTCTGTGCAGGTTGGCTGCGATTTCCTCCCACAGTTCAAAGCTTAGGTGGATTAGCCATGGGAAATGCATGGTAGTGTAGGAAGTTTGGATCTGTATGGGATGATCTTCAGAGGGTTGGACTGAAAGGCCTGTTTCCACACTGTAGGGATGCTATGAATTTTCTATAATTGCTGCCTGTCATCCCTGCTATTTTATTCAAATCCTCTCACTATGAAGGCCAACATTCCTTTTCCATTCTTCACCGCCCTGCCAAACCTGCATTCTTACTTTCAGAGACTGCTGTACAAGGACACCCAGGTCTCATTGCAGCTCTTCCATACCCAGTCTATCTCCATTCAGATTATAATCTGCATCCTGGTTTTGCTACCAAAGTGGATAACCTCATATTTATTAGTCATTGTCTGGACATGTTCCAAGGAAATTTATCTTCCGTTTTTCCATTATCACTGTATTTTAGCTGTTCCAGCTCTAGATTCTAAGAGCTCAGATAATGATTAAATTAGTTTAACAATTTTTGAGTCTTTGTTTAAAGTTTCCACGCATGACTAAGCGATATAAAGCCTATACTGTGTATAGAAGAGTTCCAAAACTAACTGTTGGAAGTTTGACATTACAATCACTGCAAGTATCTGGTAGTCAGAAAAAAAATCACTGATTTTTAGTTTATTGAAAATGGAACAGTCACTTGCTAATTCAAATCATGCCCCTTATATGTAGATTACAGTACAGAAACAGGTCATTCAGGCTAATAAATCTGCTCATGCTCCATTTAAACTTCCTCTTATGGTATGTCATCCCAGTCACTAAGCATGTCCTCCTATTGCTTTCATAGTCATGTACTTAGGGCAACACAGTGGCTCAGTGGTTAGCATTGCTGCCTCACAGCGGCAGGGGCCCAGGCTTGATTCCACCCATCAGTGACTGTCTGTGTGGAGTTTGCACTTTCTCCCCGTGTCTGTGTGGGTTTCCTCTGGGTGCTCTGGTTTCCTCCCACAGTCCAAAGATGTGCGGGGTAAGTAGTTGGCCACGGGAAATGCAGGATTGGAGGATTAGGGTTGATTGGGATGCTCTTCGGAGGGTTGGTGTGGATGCAATGGGCCGAATGGCCTGCTTCCACACTGTCGGGATTCCATGATTATTGAGCTTCTGCTTAAGGGCCATTTATGCTATTCATTTTCACTTCTCTGTGAGCAAAGTTTTACAGGCCCTGGCTGATGAGATTGCAGGTGACAGAGGAGGGAGGCTGCAACAAATTCCTTGTGTGGCCTTACCATTATTATTCCCCACCCTCAACCCCCAAAATATTCACAATCCCTCTGTAAGATGGGTCCCTCCTATACAGACCAGTCTGCTCACTCTTGCGCCGATTAAAGGACTTGTGTGGCCTGCAATTTATTTTTAAGATGATCTCTTTGTGGGTTATAAGGAGTAAGAATGGTTCTCTGGCTCCTGGAAGAAGAGTTCAGGCCATATCAGGACCCAATTTCTTTCCCCATCGCATTTGGGATTCCCATTCACTGGATACAATTACCAGAAATGCCACAGGCTCTTCCCAATGGTCTGTTCCGACCATCTCCCGGCACACACCCACTGACCCACAATTACTCTTGTCAGGTTCAGGAAAGTGTCTGAAATATATCAATGAGAGCCTGGCATGATGTTTTGCCCACACTGCCTTTCCCTAGCTCACCTCACACCCTGTTTAAAATAGGCACCAAAGGCTCGCGTCTTCCTTGAGATGAAACTTGGAAAGTGGCAATGTTTTAATCATAAGTGAACCAGAGTCGTAGTAACATTGCATTTGATGGCTGGTTATCTATATTTGCAGACCTTAATTCACTCGAAATAAACGCCACTGTATTATTTATGGTGCTTCAGCTGAGTGTACCTTTTATGATATTCCATTGTTCGTCCTCCAAATATTTGCTGAAATATTAATTAAAAGAGAAGGAATGCCTAAAGGGAGAGCCTGCAGTATAAAGTACTATCCAGCATGCATTATTGAACAAACAGTGAAGAATGCAACTCCTGCATTCTAAGAGCTACATTCTCGAAGCTATCTTTGATTCTGTGAGCCATTCTCCCTCCCGTGGAGACCCATCGTTGATGGTCTTTTGTTGCTGCGGCTGTATCTTATGAGTTAGCCTGAGTCCGTCTAGGGGTCCCTGCTCAATCCTGTGGACATCAGTATTTCAGACTGCCTTAGCAGATTATGTAACATGAGGCAAGAGGTAATACCCAGACTGCACCAGGTGCCACCAGATGGACGCCTTGGGGTAAAAATTCATCTGGGACTGAGCAGTGATCTCAAAACTGGTCACAACTTGTCACCAGTTGGCACCAAATGGACACAAGGATAAATTGCAGGAAAATCCACTCACCTTGCCACATATTAATGTATTGTACAGGTATAAGTCTCCAAACTTTAATCAGCAATTTACAGTCATTATCTGTTTATTAATTTCCGATAACACAAGCTCAATTGTTGTTTTTAGTTTATTTATTTCTTTTGTGTCATGCAGGAACCTGGCAAATTGACTCTCCTTTGGGTTTAGTTTCTGGAAAATGGTATTGCTTGATGTAATTAGATTTTATCTTCAACTAAATTCCCTTCCCTTAACTCCCCTGCCATCTAATAAACGCAGGGTCCAATGTAAACTGATTCAGTGGGTGGGTTTGGGTCAGTTGGTGGGGATTAAAATCCTTGAACCGTTTTGTGATACAAGTGCAGTCTCCATCCTGCTCATTTCTGCTTTAAACTGAGGCCAGAAGGAGAGTGGGTGACCAATCTGATTCAATGTGATGGGCTAGAATTTTAAATATGTCAATGTGGACATGTGCATCTTTTCTATTCAGTTTCTAAATGTAATAGCTTTTAGCCAGTGTTCCTGAGCAACAGGTATATATGTGTTACTGATCCCTTTAAACATGTTTTCATACTCAACCTGTCCTGAGATCTTATTGCACGCCTCTGGAGTAGGTGGAACTTGAAGCCTCTTAGTCTAGATGCAGGGATGCTACCACTGCAATACTAGAGCCCCTTAATAATATTATTAGGATACTTAAATGAAGGTATTCATTAATTAGAAATTTATCACAAGAGAGGGCTCCTGTGGTAGTGTTCCATCCTTTGGGCCTGGAGACCCAGGTTCAAGTCCTAGCTGTTTCAAAGGTTTGTAATAACATCTCTGAACACGTTGATTTTAAAGCCTCTTTATAACAAGAGATGAAGTGTCTTTGGAGAGGGAGCACACAGTGTTTACTGGTATACCACAGGTCTTCTGTGCCAGATGGGCCCCACATAGATTAGAATGCATATTCACTCCCCGAGACCAAATTTGTTCATTTAAGTTTCATTTGGAATTTTGACTTTTGTTGCAATGCTCCTTTAAGGGACTGCCACATTTTAATTTGGTTTGATTTGAGTCATTTTAAATAGTATGACAAGTGACTAGGAGGGTGGGAATATTGTTCAAGTCACGCCTGCCCTGGAGGAATGTCCTAACATGTTCAATGAATAAGTGAATTTCAGTGAACAGGTTCAGTGAATAAACTCATTAAGGTATATATTTGTAGCCTGTTCCATACTTCACTGACTAGTTTGGGATTCATCCAGGAGCTTCCTTGAACAGGGATCCGTTGGATTCTGGGGAAAGTGCCTTCACACCAGTGCCTCCCACAATCCAAAGCTGTGCAGCGTTTGTGGATTGGCCATGGGAAATAGTCCATAGTGTCCAGGGGATGTACAGGCTGGATGGGTTGGCCTTGGTAAAATTTAGGTTACAGGGATAGGATCGAAGGGTGCGTTTAGGTGGAGATGCTGTTCAGAGACTCAATGGGCTGAATGGTCTCCTTCCACACTGCAGGGATTCTATGACTTACCTATGCTGCTAGGATTGGGGCCACCCTCACAAACAACTTTCTCCTTGTTGGCTTCAGCCTCCCTTCCAGCAACGACAGTCTCTCTCTCTCTCTCTCACCCAGAGGCCTGCAAACCTCTGCAACTCCAGCACACCAGGCACCAAAACCATCATGCCTCCACCAGGCAACAGCATATAGTTATAGCTGAGGTTACCCCAAATGTAAATTACTTATTCAACCAGCTTCCCACGACACTCCAACCTTTAACTTCAATCTCACCTTCAGGTCTCTCTAGGTGACCGAGCCTCCCAATCTCGCTTCCTTCCACTCATCTCCCACCCCTCCCCACTTCCCCCCAAACAGGTTGACTCCTACTCCTCTGGTTCCCAACACAGACCTGCGGTGGCAGCCACTGATAATCTGGTTCCCACTACAAGCTTTTCCTGTGTTCCCCCCACCAACCTCAGTAGAAACTCCCCAACTGGTGAAGCAATACCATCTTCAAATGGATGTGGTGATGTTTCCTGCAGACACGCTAAGAGGGGCAATGATGCAAAGTGTCATGTAATTCAGGTGGAATGATGGTTTGACCTGAAGAAAGCTTCCAGCTCAGACATGTCGACAAGATCCCTAACTGTGTTAAACTGGTACCAACTTCTCAAATCCTTAGTGAATGAATTTAGGTATTTTTGTGTTAACCAATCTCATATGTGTGCTTGGTGCCTCGATGTTTATATTTGATTTGATTGGACCTGATTTATTACTGTCACATAACTCGAGATACAGTGAAAAGTATAATGTTGCGAGCTAGCCAGACAAATCATGCCTTACATCAGTACATCAGAGTAATAGAACAGAATGCAGAATATAGTGTTAAAGTGACAGAGAAGGCACAGAGAAAGATCACCTGTAATACATGAGAGGTCTATTCAAAAGTCTGATAATACTGGTGAAGAAGTTGTTCTTTAATCTGCTGGTAATATCACAAAGGGAAGGAAAAATACAACAGGATTAATGCCTACAACCTTCAACTCAGTTGAGAGTGGTACCCAAGTCACAGCTCATAAAGCAAGCAATTGATTCCTTTTTAAGTCAAAAAGCATTCATTTCTTTTTTGTTACATTTTAAAACAAGTAAAATTGTCTGTTTTTGTTACAGTTGCCAGTGAAGATCTGCAATCCAGCTTGTACTTTGTCAATGGATCTCTGCAAGAGGTAGTCTTCGCCAGTACCATGGGGACATTGTTACCATGCCCTGCATCAGGGAATCCCCCAACAACCCTGCGTTGGTACCTAGCAACTGGGGAAGAGATGTACGACGTCCCAGGGATCCGACACGTCCATCCAAATGGCACTCTCCAGATCTTCCCTTTCCCTCCTTCGAGTTTTAATAACTTGATCCATGACAATTCGTACTATTGCACAGCAGAAAATCCTTCAGGGAAAATTAGAAGTCAGGATATTCACATTAAGGCTGGTGAGTATCATAATGAACATATTGGATAGTGAGACCGATAATGGTCTTATTGCAATCGGAACCCTCTGCATGCTAGATGAGGATCGTGGCTGTTTTAATGTTGAACTTCACTTGGGTTGCATTTTTGCTTAGTAAGGATAGTAGGGTTGAACAGCATTGAAAAGGGCCACTTGGTCCATTGTGTCTGTGCTAGTTCTTTGCAAGAGCTACACAATGAGTCCCACTCCATCACTTTTTCCCCATAACCCAACTACTTTTTCATTTTCACACTTATATGAACTCACTTTCCAAACTATGATTAAATCCTGTTTCACTTATTCTTTCAGGCAATGCATCCCAGATCATCAAAGCTTGCTGCGTGAGAAGAATTTTTCTCATTTTCCTTCCTTTGGCCAATGATCTCAGATCTGTGTCCTCTGGCTACCAGCCCACAAGCCAGTCTACTTCAGAGTTCTGTAGTATCTGCACAAACTGAATTTCCCTCACCATTGGTCCAAGTCTAGTAAATCTTTTCTACCCACTTTCCAAGTCCTTGACATCTTTCCTAAGGTGTGGCACCCAGAACTGAAAATGGTTATGGGAAATGGCAATGTCATAGAGGCTCAGGCTAATTCTTTCAGGCTCAGTTTCAATTGCACCAAAGCAACTGGTGGAATTTTTAAATGTTGGGAATTGGGTGGAAGAGGAAGCTCTATTCATGGAAGTAGGGGATGTTGGGCTGCTTGGTCAATCCTGGAAATGGGGAATGGGGAGGTGGTCTATCATGGGTGTGAGTCATAGGAAAGGTGTTGATTGGGGCTGATGTGGAGGGACGCTGCCAATCCAGGTGAGGGAGAAAGTTCAGAGGTCGAGGTTGTGAGGAGGAAGAGACGAGTGACCTGAAGAGAGGTACCTTATAGGCTTCATAGAGGAAAGCAGAGGCTTAATGAGGCAGAAGGACAGTCAGAGCATAAGGGATCAGAGTTTAAAAGTTACGGGTGAATAAAAAGCCTTGTGCTGAGGTGAGTGGGAAATCGGAGCCTGGTCGTGGGATCTGAGGACTCAAGGTGGGGGTGAGAGGCTCACAGTAGGGAGTTCACTGGGGGGGGTCGGGTGAGGAGCTACTTGATCAAGGAGATTTCACAGAAGGGAGGTGAGAAGGAATTTCTCAATCCAATAATCATTGCTTTAAGGAAACCTTTGAAGCTTTCCTGACATTCAGGAATCCAGCATCCGCATCTAACTGGAAATTGTAACTGTTCACCATGAATGGGGTTGTTTGCCCACCTGCATTTTAGCCTCCGTTGGAAGCTGAAAATGGTTAGCATTGAGGCTGGTTTGGGTCAGGAGACAGATTTGACAGTCTACATCCCAGCTGTCTGCCACGCATCTCACACACAAATCTACCCACCTTCCCTTTCAGTTAAAATCAGACTCGAGTTCAGTTCAGATTCAGATGGGAGAAAATTTATCTGTTCACAAATGTTGCATTTGCCCTTGAAACTTACAGATGGATAAGTTTAAAAGAATTTTTAAACAGTGTAACAAATTAATATCTTTAAAAAAAACTGGACTGCTAGAAATACGCAACAGATACTTCAGTGCCTGAAACAGGCACAAACAGATTAACATCTTAGGAGAGACCTTTTGCAAATGTCACTTTCAGATATGAGTGCCTCCTGCGAGACCATTATTAATTGCCTATCTGTATTTGCTCTTGCGAAGTCACCTTCATGAATCACTATGTTTCGTGGTAGCACTCTGATTCCAGTCATTTTCTTCCAGTCTATGAAGGAGTACACTTCATGCACGTTTGCAGTTCTGATGGCTATCTCCCAAAACAGCATTTAATTTCTTCACTCTTTCCACTTCCTCCTTCAGAATTTTTCTTTTGCAGGAAATATTCATTTTCCTTTTCTGAGCTGGATTAGAGTCGTAAGAGATGTACAGCATGGAAACAGACCCTTCAGTCCAACTTTTCCATGCTGACCAGATATCCTAAATAAATCTAGTCCCATTTGCCAGCATTTGGCCCATGTCCCTCCAAACCCTTCCTATTCATATACCTATCCAGATGCCTTTTAAATGTTGTAATTGTACCAACCTCCACCACTTCCTGTGGCAGCTCATTCCATGCACAGACCACCCTCTGCATGAAAATGTTGCCCCTTAGGTCCCTTTTAAATCTTTCCTCTTTCACCTTAAACCTATGTCCTCTAGTTTTGGGCTCCTCTAGCCTGGGGAAAAAACCTTGGCTATTCACCCTATCTATGCCCCTCATGATTTTATAAACTAATTTGATAAACAGCAATATTTGCCCTTAAACCTCCTCCACACCCCTTCTCCACAGGTTGCCTGAGGGTTGCTGCGTTTGAGTATCGCCCTTTTAAACTCGCCACAGAAAGTTATGTTCAGCTATAAATAGCTGTGCTTTTTTTTTGTTTAATTACCCACTTGCTAATGGCCTGCCATCGCTAGTTAGCCCAGAAATTAAACACATTGAATATGTTAAGGTCGTAAATTATTTCAGACGATGTCAAAAAAATTGCAATATTAAGTGGCATCTTTCCTTAAGTATGTGCTCACCTCAGTCCAAACCTTCTTTCTTTCTCTTTCATTCCTGTTTCTGCACCTGATTTCACAGTGAACAGCAGACATTGTAATTTGCCCTCTTTCCAATTCTCCTCTGTTTAAAAATTTCTGAAATAACCTTGTTCGTTAAAAAAAGAGTGATGCACTTTTAGCCTTCTGACCATGGTCCCAGGTGATATTAAGCAATCAGACATCCAGCAAGTTTTGTGGATAAAACAGACTTGGAAAGCACAGACCTGCCTTTATTTTTAAAAAAAGCCTGTTTAACCGAGTGGAAAGTGAAGTGCAAAGTGTGGTCAAATATTTTGCCCTTGTTTCCCGATTTGTTCTACTTTGGATTTGTGTGGTGCTGAGAAGTTGGAAAGAAAGTTTTTTTGAGGATATTCACCTCAATGAAACATGGGATTAAAACTTAAGAAATGCAAGATCAGTTTGCTCGAGATCGATTGTTGAAAGCTTTGATTTAGATCTAAAGTGTGGGCCTAGAGATTCTGTATTAATCAGTGTAGCCATCAATGATCAAAAAACTTGGACACTCCCTTGCATATGAAATTCAGCCCTCCCATTCCCTTGAAAGTCTCCCAAACACATTGATTCACTTGCCCTGAGAGAGTAGGAACTGCAGATGCTGGAGAATCTGAGATAACAAGGTGTAGAGCTGGATGAACACGGCAGGCCAAGCAGCATCAGAGGAGCAGGCCTGCTGTGTTAACTTGGGGAGTGGAGGTAGAGGTAATACAGTCAGAGAACCATAGAGATAAACAGCACAGAAACAGACCCTTCAGTCCAACTTGTTGACCAGATAGTCCCATTTGCCAGCATTTGGCCCATATCCCTCTAAACTCTTCCTGTTCATAAACCCACCCTCATGCCTTTTAAATGTTGTAATTGTACCAGTCTCCACCACTTCCTCTGGCAGCTTTCCATACACGCACCACCCTCTGCATGAAAAAGTTGCCCCTTATGTCCCTTTTAAATCTTTCCCCTCTCACGCTAAACCTATGCCCTCTAGTTTTGGACACCCCTACCTGGCAAAAAGGCCTTGGCTATTCACCCTATCCCTGTCCCTCATGATTTTATAAAATTCTGTAAGGTCACCTCTCAGCTGCCAATGCTCCAGGGAAAGCAGCCTCAGCATATTCAGTTTCTCCAAACCTAGCAACATCCTTGTAAATCTTTCCTGCACCCTTTCAAGCTTAACAACATCTTTCCTATAGCAGGGAGACCAGAATTAAAAGTAATATCCTAAATGTGGTGTAACCAGTGTCCTGTACAGCTGCAACTTGACATCCCAACTCCTATACTCAATGCACTGACCAATAAAGGTAATAAACAAAGGTTCTAGTAATGACAAAGCTAATGCACACTCCTTAGAATCCGTAAAGCTAGTTTGTGAAGGAGAGAACTGGAGCCTATCTTTACATACTTGTACATTTGTTTATAAAGTTGCACATTACAAGTATATACCTCCTAACCTAATAAGGACGTGTTAATCTGCTTAGATTGATATCAGCTCAAGCGCATTCTCAGTTAATGCCTATTACCTGCAAACAATTAAAGACTTAATATCTAATTAACAGTCATAGATATCTCAAATTTACGGTAAATCCATGTGTAGATTCATTGAATTGAGTTTTGAAGTAATGATTATGTGTAACTTTAATTGCTCGTGTGCTCAGAAGTTCCCTCTCTAAAGATCTCCCTGCCTCTCTAACTCACTTTCCTCCTCTGGGACTCACCTTCATACCAGGCTTTTGATCACCTGACCTATTTCCATCAATGACAGGGCCCTTAGCTGTGTCTGACCTGTGTCTTCTGCTGCTGTCCTCACCCCCTCCTCTCCCTCCCAGAACAACAACAGGGTTCCCGTTGTCTTCACTTTCCATTCCACCAGCTGTGTAATTCCAAGGATCATCTCTGCCATTTCTGCCACGCCAGGACGCCACGATAAAACGCATCAACCCCTCCCCTCCATTGTCAGGGACCATTCCCTCTGTGATGTCTTTGTCCATTTCTCCATCACAACTAATTATTCCTTGCCCATCATGGCACCCTCCTATGCAGAAGGTGCAATACTTTCCCTTTCACCTCCTCACTGTGCTAGGCCCTAAATACACCTTTTGCTCAAGCAACATTTTACTTATTCTTCTTTTAATCTAGTTTAATGCTTTCTCTGCTCACAATGTGGTCTCCTTTACATTGGTGAGACATATGTGGAACACCACTTTTTTTAAAATTCATTAACAAGTTGGGGGCGTCGCTGGCTAGGCCAGCATTTATTGCCCATCCCTAATTGCCCAGATGGTAAGAGTCAACCACATCTGGAGTCACATGTAGGCAGAACCAGGTAAAGGATAGCAGTTTCCTTCCCTAAAGATCATTAGTGAACCAGATGGGTTTTTCCTGACAATTGACAATAGATTCATGGTCATTATTAGACTCTTGATTCCAGATTTTCACAGAATTCGAATTCCACCAACTGGCGGGATTTAAATCTGGGTCCTCAGAACATTACCTGGATCTCTGAATTAACAGTCCAGCGATAATACCACTAAGTCATTGCCTCCCCAGTTTGTAGGAATGACCCCAATTTGCAGTTGATCACCATATCAATAAGCCACCTTGCTGTCATGCTACTGTTTCCATCCTGGGCCTGCTGAGTGGTCTGGCTAAGTTCAATGTGATGTGGAGGAACCTCATTTTCCATTTAGGCACTTTATAGTCTTCAGGACTTCACAGCTTGAACTCTGCTCTCCATTTTGATTACACCACACTGCTTCTTGTTTCTGTCTTTGTTGATTTTGCTCTCGGCACTACTGACCTATTTTCTCCTATTTAAACATTCCATTTACACCTGTTTTCCATCTCAATATATCCTTTACCACCACTAGCATTTCCTTTGTCTTTTGCTGTGTGCACCACACCACTTGTTCCACTCACTCCTCTCCCCTTTCTCTCAACACCATTTTCCAATCCCTTTCAGTTCTAAGGACTCCAAATGTTAACAATATATCCCACTCCACAGATGCTGCTGAGTTTCTCCAGCATTGTCTGCTTTTACATCTTTACTTGAATTGGTATCAATTTGGAGCATTTTGGTATACTAAAGGTGCTATATAAATGCAAATGGATATTGTTGTTTAATGAACATTGATACTGTTTGACAACATTAATCCAATTATAAATTTTGTCCTCAGTTTTAAGAGAGCCCTATACAGTCCGCGTAGAGGACCAGAAAGCCATGCGGGGGAATGTAGCAGTCTTCAAGTGCATTATCCCCTCCTCTGTGGAGACTTATATCACTGTAGTGTCATGGGAGAAAGACACGGTCTCACTTGTCTCAGGTAAGGTCAGATTTTGCTTCTTTTGTACCTTCCTTAAAGCAGAAATGTTCACTGTGACAAAAAAAATGCTTTGTTTGTGTGCAAATATTAAACTTTTTCACACACTGATTGATAATCGAGTGGATGCATTAACCGAAAGTGAAGGATTGTTAATTTTTTTAAAAAAATCCCTCCTCATCAAACCTAATATTTCATGTTGATTGCCAGTTTTGATGTTAAGAATTTGGCAGAAACATAGCTTGTGGTAATGGATGTTCTGGACAATCCTCACAGTGTCGTCATAAGGTTTTGCTACTATCCAGTGACCCTATTTGTCAGAGGAAGATATCTGAGGCAGTTCTTCTAATATTGGTCTGTTGGAGTAAGCTTGGTTCTTGTCATGTGAATTATAGAGCATCTGCCTTATCACCTTCAATCTCTGAATCTTTCGATGAGGAAACAAATGAGGTTTTCTCCAGAAGGTAAAATGGAGAAGCATGTGATTGATGTAGAGATGGTTTTGCCTTCATCCTGTCATGGTTTGTTCTGATATCCATTTGGTCAATGGCGAGATGTGGCCATGGAAAGCTATGAAGACTCTTCATGGAATATGTTATATCTTGTTTGATGGCTTCATATTGATAATGCTGCAATTCACCTATCAGGTAAGCCACTTGTAGGAGGCATAACGAACTTAGCCATCTGTAACTTCAGCATATGTGGGATTGTGAATCAAATACCGGGACTGCAAGCTGTTCCTGTTGTTTGTCATCATTCAGGACTTGGATGACCTGGCATGAATTGTCTCCTGGTTCACTGGGTACGTTCCATGACTGGTGTGAATTACATGGCAAATTATAGTTTAGGCAGTTGATTTAACATGCATTTACATTCTGCTTATTTTTTAAACATTTAGTATTTACATTTTGATACTCTATAATTCTTTGAATTGTCTGCGGTAACGGTGGGAAATTGATGGGTCAGTGATATCTAGCTAATGTTACAAACCTGTGCAGATTTGGACAACTAATTTACCCAGGTGACTAAGAATTTGTTAGCCGATAATGACGTACAGCGGCCATGTTTGATCCTGACCCTGCCCAGCAGGGTCCTCTGATGCTAAATGACTGAACATTTACTTCCCAGTGGACAATTGTAAGTTGCCTGGTCAATGGATTCTTGTCTGCGATATCAAGTTGGTTCTGAAGGCCGTCAATCCTCTAGAACGCCTTTCAAAATGCAAGAAACGTGTTGTTCGATATTCCTTCACTTCTCCAGCCCTCCCTTTCAATAGAAATGCAGAAGGCTTTTGATTTTTATGTCTGACAGTGAGATCCCTCTACACTGTGATCATTTGAATCATGACGTAGGCCTGAGCTTCAAATACAACAATTCCCAAACTTAGGACTCTATCCTGACTCCAGAAACTGATAAATTCTGTCTAATTCTGGGCTGCTCTGCTTTTCAGAAGCACTTTGCGATTGTGCTTTGTGGTATCTCAGTGCCCTTTCTTAACTGGGAGACGGCTATTTTATGGCTGTGGATCTGAAGAGGAAAATAATGTCTAGATTTGTTTAACTGTAAAGGCTATAGCTTGTTTCTCCTTGTTCATGTATCAGCAGTTCAGGAAAAGTCTATCCCAAAAAAGAAATTATGTAATTTGGGTTGCCTTCACGTGAACTTTGATTGAACATTCCTCATTTTCACTGAGAGATTATCAAGGGAGTGGAGAGTCTGAGCAAGTGACAGCGTCGTGAACATTTATCGAAGAGTGGGATCAGTGCATGAAGCCCGGGAGACCATCATGAAATCCTGCAAAGGTCATGCAGCTTATTAACCTTTGCTTGAAACCATGGCAATTGGAAACAGAAGAAAAAAATACAGAGCACTCTCCAATAAGGAGACTCTGCCCTCTGGCTCCTCATGGTTTGGGTATTTTTAAATCTGGAATTGTTTTAAAATTGACCAAAAAATGCACACCAAGCAATATGTAAATGGAATCTGATCAATGAGAAGAATTAAAGGGCTTGGCCTTTCCATCATTTCTTTGGTGGTGGAAGAACCCAGTCTTTTGTCTTGAAAAAATATTGTAAAGTGTTGTCTCATATAATTGATTCGGTGTGATCCCTTAATTGATCCACTGCAGATATTTATTGTTCCTGAATGCTGTGATAAAGATGCCAGCAAACAAACTGAGTTTGATTTAACTGGGGTCACAGTCTCTTGCCTGCAATTTTAAGGTCTATAAACATGACCTGCATTTAATTCGACTGAGGAGATACTTTTAAACAGGCATGTGTCAAGGCAAGCCCTAAGATCTTCAAATGTCAGGGGTCAGGGAAGCTGATGACATTTGCTGTGAAAGGTCAGCAACAGGTAAGAGTATTTGGTAAATTGCTCAAATAGTTTTATGGTTTTTTTTGGTGCATTTATTCAATTGGTTAATGGGAGCAGGATGAAGATCAGAATAATTTTCTTAATAAATGCAGATTATAGATTTGGGAACGTTCAAGTGCAAGGAACCCCTTTGAATGCATTTATACCTATGGATATCACAAAAATGTTCAAAGCTTTTTTTTGCTTTTCTTTCCTAATGATAAAAATATAGCCCCAGCAGAATGTCTAACCAGAGGAAAACCAAGCATTGAATGTATGAAATTTTGCCAAAATGTCTCAGGTTGAGAGATTCCATTACTGACAAATAATCTTCTTTCCCTTTCCCATGACCAGAACCCTTGAGTTGTCACATACTCTTCCCTTATTCTATTTATTATGAGTGCATTAACTGATGCACAAGGCAGAATCTTGTGTTTTCTCTGAGGTTAAGTGTAAGATGAAAAGTTGGAGGAAATTCTCTGGGCAGGTCAGATTATCTCACACAATCGAGCTCATTACATGTGTACATCCGGCCAATCTGATGAGTAGGTGGACAGCATGTTCTCCTCTCTGTGTGCCACCTTCAGACCTTGAGCCTCTAATTTCCGATCTCCAGACAGCACTCCACTCTCTACAACCCAGGAACATCACTTGATCTCTGCTCATCACCTCCTGCCCAACCTTAGAGACATTAGAAACCAGGCAAAAAGTAGCACAGTGCTTTAGTGACTGCCTTCCTAGACGTTCTCCTGAAGGCTTTCCAGGAGAAAAGTGCTTTCCCCCTGACAACAGCAACTGGAGATTATCCCAAACAATGAATGTAACCTGGGACAAAGGTGGCTTTGAGCATGCATATCAGGAATAAAATTATTTCAAAGCGAGGGTGTCTCCCTCAAAATGAGGATTTTATGGAAAATCTGCCTCAGCAGCATCTTTTTTTTATAGTAGGCTGAAAGTTTTAATTATAAAACTTTAGGGGCAACACAGTGGTTCAGTGGTTAGCACTGCTGCCTCACAGCCCCAGGGGCCTGGGTTCGATTCCACCCTTAGGCAATTGTCTGTGTAGAGTTTGCACATTTTCCCCATGTGTGCATGGGTTTCCTTCCACAGTCCGAAGATGTGCAGGCTAAGTGGATTGGCCATGCTAAATTGCTGTAGTATTCAGGGATGTGTAGATTAAGTGGGTTATAGAGGGGTGAGTCTGGGTGGGATGCGCTGAGGGTCGGTGTGGACTTGTTGGGCCAAAGGGCCTGTTTCCACACTGTAGGGATTCTGTAGATAAAAGCTACTGTGCAGAAGTACATTGACACCTTGGTGACATCTACTGAAGTGCAAGTGCCCTGACCGCCACATCAATTAATCAGTTAATGTTGAAACTGTGTTTGAGTGTTGCACTTTTTGATCATGGAACAAAAGTGTGATCAAATCCATTTACAACATTGAATGAGGATGGAACATTTACAGAGAAATTAATTACCAAAGGAGAGGTCAACAGCAGTTGATTGGGCCTGTACAGTCAGGACTCAGAAATCCTAGGGAGCTGAGGGTGTCAGAAAGTCTGAAACAACAACAAAAATTGCTGTAGAAACTCAGCAGGCTCGCATCATCTGTAGAGCGAAAGCAAAGTTAACATTTCAAGGCAACCGATCCTCCTTCACGGTGGGAAAGTCACTGGCCCTGAGTTTGCAGAGGCCATGAGGAGGTCAGAAGCATTAATTCTTCCATGCAGAAGAGGGCGCGAATGTTGAAAAACCGCAAACAGTATTCCCTTTCTACAACTGACCAAGATTCTGGAAAACCCAGTGGTAGTTCTAGCTTGGAGAAGCTAGCTGTCAGCAAAATGCTGGAGTTATTCTGGTAAATAAGTACTGGAGTACACCTTTGGGATCCCAGTGAACATGAACCCAGGAGAGGAGGGTGATCAACCAGAAAAGGAGCAATCTGCAGCAATCCATAATAGAGTGACTTTTGAAAGGGGATTTCAAGGCCATATCAGCAAATCCTTTGTGAATTTTAATGAAGTTCCTTGCCCTGTCATTGTGTTAATATTGGAGGTTGTTGCTGAGAAATCTGTAGCATCTGTATTGATGTAATTGGCTGTTACCCATGTTTTTCACCTTAATTCTAGGTGTTAGAAATAATTTATACATGTATTGTAGATTATAATACTGTTCTAACTTGAATAGAAAAACGTAAAAGATGACAGTAAAACCAGCTTTGTTACCTCAACTGTTGTGGTCGGTTGGCTCGCCGAGCTGGTTTGTTGTTCCACAGACGTTTCATTACCCTGCTGGGTAACGTCATCCGTGCAGCCTCCGATGAAGCACTGTTATGTTTTCCCGCCTGTTATTTAAACTCTGGAGTCCATTGAGCTGGATTACCTCCCTTCCGGTTTTCCTTCCCAGTGGAGTGTATATGGGGTCGAGCTCTATGTGTTTGTTGATGGCTTTCTTCATGGAGTACCTGGAGAAGTATCTGTGGAAAAACAACGAACCAGCTCGGCGAGCCAATCAACCACAACATCTGCAACCCGAGCTACAAATCTACTCTAAAACCTCAACTGTTCAAAATGTTAGACTCTGCAGGGTTTGATTTAGCTTTTATCAAACTTGAGCTGCTTTTTGGTGTTGGGAGGAGAAAGGTGG